ATTTCTGGGGTCATTGCCAAAATTTCAATCAACTTTGGTGGTCAGCAAACATCAATGAAAAAAAGAAGCAATTCACCAAGTCACATAAATTCCAAATACACTTTAAACTATATATAGTTCAAAATAAATTTGTTTTCTTTAAATTTTTAATATTTTCAGCTCTGAAGAGGGCAGTCCTTTCTAGCATTACTCGTGTCGTGTCTTATTAACAACTGTCCTAAGTTTTCCATCTTTTCTTCTCTCTTATGCTTCATTCGTATGCTTAAGCTTAAGAATTTTTCTTTGAGTTGCATTCATAAACGTTTTACTGGTTTTAATACATTTCTGAATAAATATAGAGAAAAGCTCTTGTCTTCTCTTTAAATATCCTTTACCTTTAAAGACTTACAAGTCCAAGAGCTGCAATTCAATCATAAGAACTCGGCAGCAGTTAGGGTATCCATGCAGAGCAGACAATATTGTTGGCCCCTCAGGCAACAGCAGCCGTTTAAGCAATTGGTGGTCTACTTTGCATACGATCTGGACCTGTGCAAGGACTCTGACCGAAACCGAGCTGCCGCAGATCCAGTTACAGTTTTTTTCTTATTGCTATCGACACACATCACACCTGGCCTGGCCTGGCCTGACCAGATCGGTCGATTACTGCTGCCAATTGAGCGAGAGCAGAAAAAAGTTAAAGATCACAGCCGTTGGCCCGACAAGCACCGAAGGACGCCGCAATGCGAGCAGGCTGGCTGCTGGGGCCACGCGTGCGCAGGATCAAGTTACGAGGCGCATGCGAGGCGGCCCCCCACAGCAACTGGAAGGACATTGGAGCTGTATCAGGGTTATGGACCGCTAGCCAGGATGCTGCAGACAGTTAGACAGACTGCAGCGTCAGGTCGCTTTCTCGCAGTCCTACTGGGTGGTCGGCTGCTTTCAATAGCGCTTGCTACCTCCTTCAGTAATTGTCGTAAATCTTGTCGTGGGCAAGGACAACACTTCAATTAGGCTAAGCGCCGAATGTCTCGTGTCGCTTGTTGTTTGGGCCGCGTTCCAATCGCAATTAGCACAACATTAGCGCGGCTGACCTTTGACCTCGCTGCCACTCCCGCTGCGCCGTCTATTGTCCCGACCTCGGCAGTGTCCTTGCGCCTCCTTGTCTCTGCGTCTCTTTTATTCCTCTCAATGTTTTCTCTGCGCTTTGTCACGCATTCATTTGCCAAATGGTCGGCAATAATTGCGGTTGTCCCATTGTATTCCCCGGCGTCTACGCCAGAACAGGCGCCTCCGTATATTTACATAATTGTCCATGTCTCGTCGTCACGGTAGCGCCCCCCAGGGAGTGCAGCAAAATGTGGGTGCAAATTCGAGGGAGACAAAAGGACTATGAAATATGCATGACTCTTGAAAGAAACGCGCAGTGGAGAACGGAGATGAATGACAGACGAGGAAGTGAAAAGAGACTGGCGAGAAATTACGTAGCGCAAACAGAATAGTAATAGAAATGCCAAAGAGGAACTAAAAGTAAACAGGAACTTAGATTATGAGTTTAATAAATAAAAGCTGAATGAAAAGGGAGAGAAAGACAGGTGGGAGCTGCAGCAGATGAACTAAGGAAACAAAATAGCAAAGTTTATTAAAGAACTATTTTTAAAGAACTTCCCAAGTTTCTATGGCACAAGATTAGAATAAAACGAGGGAAGTATGTAAAACATTAGAGGAAGATAAATAGAGCAATAAACTTAGATGAGTGTAGTAGCAGTTAGTTTAGTAGTAGAAGTTGCGGCAGATTACATTTAAAAAGTAGTAGAAGTGAGAAGCTTGAAATATAATCATATGTTTTTATATCTCCTGCCTTCATTTTGAGTAAACCTCCCTCACGTTAGTATTTCCTTAGGTGTCACTTCTACGTCTTTTACTTCTACTTATGTTAAGTTTCTCTCTTTTGCTTCCTCACCATCTTACTTCTGCGTAGCTCACATCTATATCTTGTTAAGTTCATAGCTTCATAGCATTCACATTTCTGCTTCTTTGTTACTCTTAATTTAGCTTCATGGCAAGTTAAGTTCGACTTCTAATTCTCATAAACTTATTTAGCTTTAGTGCATGAGAAATTATGCCCAAGAACAATTCAGTAAGCGAATTCTGATTACTTAAAGAAACGAGCCAATTAAGAAACATTTAAGGAACGCACGTTTGTTGTTGATTTAAAATTTCATAAGATGCCGAGCGGAATTCCTGGTTTACATCACTTTTCCGTATTTCAACAAGAGCAACGCAATGAGCAGCAGCAGCGAGGGCGGCTGCCGCCTGCGCATCAATCAGCGGACGGCAAGTGCCTGCATCCGGGCTGTAGAGGCGTATGTGTCATCCAGTGGGGGCCACCGGGCGGAGGCCAGCGTCGACTGCTCTGTATTCGCGTTGATCGTGACAATAAGAGCCGGGCAAGCAATTGGCCCAACGGGGCCAACTTTACTTGATTGCCATCATCAAACTGTTTACGCGAATGACAGACGACTGACAGCCTCGGGGGTAATTCGGTTAAGGGGATTTATTTATATTGATAATGACAATAGCTACTTGGACAATGGTCCGGTGCCGGGCAGTGATAATCACTGAGATTTGATGATGTTTGAGTGTTGCTTTGTGGGTCAGCAGTCAGTCGATTGTGGCGACGAGTGGCGCCAAATAAAGCGTGGGACATGGTGAATCATGTCGAGCCAAGAATGCAGCCAGGAAATGGCAGATGCCAGTGAAAGTGAAACAAGAAAGAGAGAGACAAAGAAGTGAAAACATGTCGGCACATCAATAACCACACAGTTAACCAATAGTCGGGTCACTTAGATAACACCTAATTAGGGTCAAACTGACAACTTTAGCGCCACAAGCGCGGGTGGTCAAAGCAACGAGAAGTCGAGTAGTCGAACAGTTAAGGAATTGAGAATCGAACTAAGTCAGACTAAGACACGCCCCGCAGCTGTGGAATAGGCCACGCATATTGCGTTGAAGCATCCTGGCTGCGGTAACAAGACTCAGTTTGTATTTGGTTTGGGTGTCGCCGGCGATTCGTTGCGTTTCATTGCGAGTTGGACCAAGCTGAGATAATTACATGTTAATTCCTAGCCATATATATCGGGGCTACGAAGACAGCAGCAGCGGCGCAATCAAGTCCAATTTTGTGCGGCGTCTCTGAGGTGGCGACTTTGCCGCCGGCGTCCTTTTGTTATTGTTGCATGTTGCTTGATACGTTTGAAGAGGGGTCTCGGAGCCGGCTCTCGATAATTAAGCAGTTGCCAACACAATGTGTGCGGCATTTAATTGAGCCAAGGCTTAAGGACACCTCAGCGGCTGAGTCAGACGAAAGAGAGAGTCGGAGACTGAGACACAGAGGGCGACTGAGAGTCAGAGTCACAGTCAGAGGCAGAGGCAGAGTCAGCGGCAGAGCCAGAGGCAGAGTCAGAGTCAGGTAAATCACATTGAAGATCTTGACGTGGCCTATTAATAACTTTAATTAAAATTATGAGTGAGTCGAAGTCTGTTATAGATGGCGACTTTTTCGCATTCACATAATATTTGTGGTGGCCCCTTAAAGATTTGGAACTGGAACTGGAGCTAACTTTAGGAGTGTGGGAACCAAATTATTCAAATCTTTATTGTGCGCTGAGCCATAATTCTCAGCGAAACGCTCTCTCATATGCATATTTATTGCATTTTTCGACGCGGCAACGCCCCCAAAATTCACAATGGAATTTCAATTCCATTCTCCAAGTTTGCGACTTGCCAAGCAACAAACAGCAAGGAGCAACAGTCAGGGCCATAGCCATAGCCATAGCCACAGCCCGGTCCCAGTCCACAGGTCCAGGCTGTGGCTACGACGTTTCACAGCCTCCACCGAATGCAATCGTATCGCATCTTTTGTTTAGCCACGCTTTGCGCTGCCTTTTAGACTGAGCCTCAGCCTTGGCAGCGATTCGCTGGAATAATTAAAATTTATATGTGTTTCGTTTGGGCTTAATCGCCGCTTCACCCCCAACTTCTAATGTGGTTAGCCTTCTGCTGCAGTTACACTAGCATCGCTCCTCCTCCTCCGCCGCTCTCTTAATTCGTTTTTCTGTTTGCGGCTCGTCTGCGATTCCAATTTCACTTTCGCACATAAACGAGGCATTATTTATAAAGCTGGCGCTGGCAATTTGCATGGCAACTGTTGCTACGTGCCCAAGCGAATCCTTACTCTCAGCTCGTCTCTCTCTCTCTCTCTCTATCTCTTCCTGTCTGTATCTTTGTTGCACTTAAGTGCTTGTCAATTGGAAAAATCTGACTGTTTGCCTCTCTCAAGCTCCACCAGGTTCAAATCTTTGACAGTCAGTCAGTGCCATCGGCACGTTCTTAACCAGCCCAATGGCCAACTCCAGGCCCAGCCACATCCTTGGCGGGTTTGTGTGCCGCATTTGAAATGAGCAGCGACAAAAGCTGGCAAATGAATATTCCAAATTGCAGTGATATATCATCAATGGATTACCAGACAGAGTCGGAGTCAAAGTAGGAGACGGAGACGAAGACGAGAAGCACAATATTTCCTCAATTTCTGACACCGGTGCGAGCTACGCAAAGTTTGTGGCTGGATTTGTCATGTTGCTGATGGCTTAGCCAAAATGATTGATTGCTTGGTTCCTGTTTGACTGAATGCCAGCCAGGCCAAAGAGGCACTCAAGCGGAAGGAGCCTAGCGAAAGTGAATTTTATGGTAAATTTCAGGAACTTGCAACGCTTTTCAATCGACACAATAAATGGCAACAGTTTCTTGTAAAGTTCTGCAATTGCAAATTGGAAAATGGGATGATTGATTACAAATGTTTCTATCTCTCTCCCTCTCCCATATGTTTGATATTATATAAGTTTCGTTTACCATCTATGACTCTGTCTCTACATAGAAGCTCTGCAGTTCCTAGACTTGGATGTCAAATATTACTTTGAGACAAATTCATTGAGGTAGGCAAATATTGTTTGACGAAATATCGAAAAATATACACCCATAAATATATACACATATATATAAATAAATTAGGTTATATATATTTATTTATATATTAACAATGCCTATCGATCGAATTCGTGGCATGCCCCTTGACAAAATTCTTAGCAGTCGTCAGCAACCACAGAAAGGAGAAGTGGACGATCCTGATTCGGAGTACAGTTCCCCCAATGATGACCCAGAAGAAACCTTCATGGAGAGCGCGAAAGTGATCCCTCCGCCGTCGCGTAGCTCGGGTCTATCCCGTCGACTGTCAAACAGTCGCAATATGATTATGAAATGGATCGTATGTGTCTCGGGAATATTTATATTGCTGCACTTCGTGCCGCGACACATTAACAGAGAGTTTGGATCCAAGCCGAGCAAGGCTATACTTCTATGGAACGACGCGAGCCTCGCCGGACAGGATAGCTATCAGTGCAACTGTGTGATAACCAGAAATCGGAACTACACCAAGCTGCCCATTGATGCCGTCGTTATCAATGCAGATCAACCCTACTCAGGAAAAGGTCTCGATAAGATCGCACACACTCCCAATCACTTAGTGGTTTATGCTAGTTTGAATCCACTGCATCTGGCCAAGAATCCACTACGCGTGAACGGTGAATCCATCTTTAACTACTCGATGACCTATCGCCTGGACTCGGATCTGGTGTGGACACAATATTACTTTTCAAAGATCATCGAACCAGACGAGCGCGTGAGCAGCTTCGCAGCACCCGTCATTGGCTTCCCAAGCCATTTGCCCTCAAAAGTGGCTACCAATGTACGCTTTTACTTACGCCACAAGCTGTATCTGGCTATGTACATACAATTCAAGGAGGATAATGCCACCACCATGCAGAGCCGATACCTGATGAAGATGCGCGAGCACATGGAGCTGAGCTCCGTAGAGAGCTGCCACAACACCAATAAGTAGCCAACTTAAACTTGACCTAACTCTGGCCCATATTCTCACTCTGCTTCCTTAGCTGCGCCCCCTACCAGTTTATGCTGATATTCGAGACCAGTCGCTGTCCGGACTATGTGCATCCGCAGTTCTACATAGCGCTGTCCAAATTTATAGTGCCTGTGCTGATTGGCGGTGGCAATCTCAGCCAGCTGGTGCCACCGGGTTCCTACATAAGCGCCAAAGATTTTCATTCACCTTCCGAACTGGCGCAACACCTGTTAACGATCTCCTCGCAGCCGCAGCTGTACGAGCAGTTCTTCTGGTGGCATTCCCAGTATGCCATACGCTCTACCAAGCAACCCTACTGCGCACTCTGCCACCAGCTGCAGCGGGAGCGATTTCAGCGCCTTTCCGTTGAGTTCCTTGAATGGTGGACAGTTTACCAGTGCCCGGACCCCGAGGCATTTCCTATTGGGTCCAATTAAATGTGCATCCCCATTGTTTAGTCTACTCAATTGACTGTATAACCAATAAAATAGTTAAATTAGCTTATGTACTGTGGACTATGTGTAGATCGTCAATCAGTTGACTGAATCAGTCAGTCCAGGCAGTTCTTTGATCTAGAAATTGTATCAATGAGACTGTTATGGATGTCAGTCAGTCAATCACTACACATCAATTAGATCTTTTTATCAATTATTCCCATCCAAGTTGGCGTTGATATTGCAACGACTGCTTCTAGTTGAGCTTCATTTTAACGTTTTTAGTGTTATAAACATGCCATTTTATATATAAGTAGTCAAACGAAAAATTCATAAAATGCCAGCCGACAAAATTAATAGCAAACTACATAAATCCGAAACACATCCACAGCCGATCAATGTGCAGACCGTCACGATGGCTAAGGACAAACCCTCGCAGTTTCACTCCGAGGAGTCGAAACGGTCAAATGGCTTAGTCATCTTAAGCCAGCACGATACAGATCGCCAGAAATTGTTTTGGTACTTAACCATATTCAAGAGCGTCGCCTGTCTTGCAGCTATTTTGTTGATGATGCGTTTTGTGGGTTACAATGGTCCACGGGAAAGACTCATCGCGCGGCATCCCAAAACCAAGGCTATACTGCTTTGGAACGCCGATCGCGACTCCGCCATGTGGGAATATTTTCAATGCGGCTGCGTTTTAACCAACAAGCGTGATTATGCTGGTGGGCCCATTCATGCCGTAGTGTTCAATGCTGATCGAAATTTCTCACTCGACGGCCTCATTCAGATAAATCGCACTCCGGGTTTTTTGGCAGTGTTTGCAGCGAAGAACCCATTGAGCATGGCACATAATCCACTGCTGGAGCATGGCGAGTCAGTTTTTAACTTCACCATGACATATCGTAGCGACTCGAACGTAGTGTGGACTAATTACTTTTTTACGGCGATACCTCAAAAGGACAGCCCACCGAATTCGCGCTCAAAACAGTTAGGTAAAACAGAGCTCGACTTGAGACTCCAAGCAAAAACCCGTTTCGTCTTTTACATGGTATACGAAGTCAACGAGTATTCCTTGCGCGAGAGTCTCTATCTGCAGGAGCTGCGAAATTACCTGGAATTGGATGCCTTCATAACCTGCCACGGATACCAAGAGTAACTGCTGTTAGCTTTTCACTTTAGTTGAATCCCATCTAATCCCATCTCTTCCCAGTTGTAGTCAATATAAGTTTATGCTGATCTTTGAGCCCAGTGAATGTCCGGACTATGTGCATCCACAGATATACGAGGCATTGGCACACTATGTGGTGCCAGTCGTCGTTGGCGGTGGTAATATCACTAATTTGGTGCCGCCTGGTTCCTACATCAACAGCGCTGAGTTTGAAACACCAGAGCTGTTGGCTCAGCATCTGGAAGACGTGGCAGCTGAGCCGCTGCTGTACGAGCGATTTTTCAATTGGCATTCCACATATCGGATCCATAAGAACATACATCCCTATTGCGCCCTATGCCGGCAGATGCAGTATTGGCAGCACCGAAGCCAACCAGGCGAGTTCCTGCATTGGTGGACTGGATACCAGTGCCCCAATCACACGAATGCTGACCTGACCAATAAGGATATTTCGGTCCAATTCCAAAACAATTTTAATTATCACTCGCATTGGAACCGTTGAACATTTTTATTTCACGGAATTTCTGCGGCCCTTGTGAAGCTAATAAGTATACCCTTTCGGAACGCCTCTTATATCAAATTTGTCATGAGGCATGTGCATTCAGCTGAAAATTACATTTTCGGTCTAACGGCTGCCTACACTTCAAACTTTTGTTTTCAAAATAATGCAAGGCAAACGGCAAAATAATATATGTACTTATGAAAAATTGCTGCTTGTAATGTTAGGCGAAAGGGCATTGAATAGTTGGGGTAGTCTTTTGCCGTCAGCATTTGCAACTGGTTCTTGGAATATTTGGGATACCAACTCGTGCTAGACGGCTGCCAAAATTGCCGACATAAGGCCATTGGATTGACCATTTAGTCAGGCCTGGCTCTTTGGGTCCCAGTTCGGGTTGAAGCTGAAGGGTTTCTGTTTCCAACAAGTCTCTGGCTGGGAAATGTTGCACGACAGTAAGACACAGAATAGATACAGCGCCTGGGCATAGATAAAGCAAATAGAGAGTGCGCTCACAGACATTGTGAACCTGGCCAACTATGTGTGTGTGAACTGAGTGTGCTCTGGACAACGAGTGGGCGACGATGTGAACGCTGGCGACGCTTGGGTGCCAAGACCATGGCAGTCAGTCAGACAATACACGAAAAACAAACAGAATTGTCATGGGAAATATTTCATGGCGTTGCCTCTCAGAGAGAGAAGACCCCCGGCGTCCTCTTTGACTGGCTGGCTGGCTGGCTGACTGGCTGACTGACTGACTGACTAGTCGGCTGCTGTCTCTCTGTTGTCTCTGTTGCTGGCACATTTCAAAACGGTATCACATACACAAAACACTTTTCTTCTTTGCCACACACAATATTTATAAGTTAAATGCTTCACTAAACAATGAGCCAAGGCAGGCGAAGGTGGATGGAGACACAATCCTCAGCCTCAACGTCGGCCCCAGCCCCAAGCTGCAGTTGAAGGCGATAATGAAACGGACGGGCGTCAAGCACATCGAACCAGAGTGAACCAGCCCCAGCCTTTGGGCCCAAGCCGTTCTTGGCTGGGTTGACAGGTTGTTGTATTCTCGTTCTGGTATTCATACATTCACTGCAGCGCATTCTGGTTCTGGGAAGTTCTCATCAGCGGCATCTGCTGACGCTGCCTTCGCTGCCTCCGCATTGTAGGGCTCAGGGCTCTGTTTGCCCATTCTGTTATCAACTATTACAATATTTTTGTTTAATTGAAAAACAGGTTTATCATTTGTCGCTCCAACTGTTTTTTCCCACAGTCATTTTCGGTCAGACTAAGCATAAACCGACACCTAGAAGACGTTTTAAAGCTATACACTGGGTTCAGTCATCACATATATAGAATCTCAGCAATTGCACTTGCGAATTAGCCATTTTCATCAAAAGTGCGTAGATCTTTCACCCTTCCAAGTACACTACTAGCTCTATTTGTTAGTCCTCTTAATCGTTTGAGTCCTTTACCCGAACCAGATTGTCACTTAACACTATGAAATCATTTTTCGATCTCTTTAACTAAAAAAGACATTTCATAATCGTCCTCTTCTCCAGCTTGCAGCTACTGAAGCACGATTTCTTGATCAACTCTGGATTAATTGGCCTGATTCAGTTTTCACTTTCGTCACAGTCTCGTTTGATGAGCAATTAAAGCTCAGTTAACTGACAGATCACGACTAGTTGTCTCCAAAAAGTCCGCCCATTAATAACTCAATTCGTCTGGGAGATAAGTTTGAAGCATTTCCAACACTCAACAGTTGAAGATTAAAGAGCTTCTGCTGTGGCTGTAGCTGTGGCTGTGGCTGCGGCTGCGGCTGCAACAGCTTCTGTCTGTTTGTATTTGCTTTGCTGGCTTCCCAGAGACTTTCCAGTCGATTTCTCACCTGGTGGCCACGCCGAGACGAAAGTCGGGAGCAGCTGCTGCTGCTGCTGCTGCTGCCATTCGACTCGTTTTAATTTGTTTGTTTACATTTTCCAAGCAAGAGGTGCTGCTCGGCTTTTCCCAACATGTCTCGGGGCTCATTTTGTTGTTGTTGTTGGTGGGCAAAATGTTTGGAAATAGAGAAGCGCAGTGCTCGAGGCAGCGACTGGTGCTGAGGTTGGCTCTAGGGCCATCCTGATGGGCACAGCTAGTACCGCTCGGCTGTTTTTAGTGTTAACAACTCGACACTTCATTAATTGAAGTTGAAGAAGTGCAGCTATAAAAAGACTATTAAGTTTCAGCCGCACAATGCCAGAAATCAAGTGGATCAGCACTTGCCACCGCCTCAAAGAGATCGCATTAGGCGCAAATTTGATTGCTTTTTAAAAGTTCAATGGTTCGAGTCGTGGGCTACAATTAACTGCGAGAGCTTTGGCTCAATTCTCACTGTTTACTCGATTCTTAGCACTCAAGTGGGGGCTTTGTTCTCGACCAAAGTTTTTATATTTGATAAGTGAGGCGGCGAAATGTTTCTCAATTTCGTCTAAGTGTTTCGTAGATGATTTTAGATGCTCGAATTAGCAGATCAATAAAATAATTAAATTTAGCTTTAGGCTGTTGAGACAGAGACCAAATGGTTCTCTTGGCTCTTATTATGGACAATCATCAGTATCTTCCACCAGATCTTACCCTATTTAAAGAGCTCGCAGCACTGGACTAGGTATATCACATTACTCTTAAAGCACACCTTCCAGTATCTGCGACCAGTTATTCAAAATGTACTGAGGCTCGCACATAAATACCAAAAGACTTAAACGTCGCCAATCCATTGTGATGGCCATAAAAATAAATCCATATGCAAATGCGGCTCTATGCGAACAACAGGCAAAACAAGAGAAGTCAAGAATTCAAGCATAAGTCAGGCTCTAGGGCGAGATACGATGCAATGGGAACTGTTGTTGCCGTTGCTGTTGCAGTTGCAGTTGCACTTTTCGCAAGGCTTGCTTGTCTAGGTGACAGTCAAGGACTCAGCAAGGCAGGCAGCAAAGCCTGGCCATTACCAATGGCAACTGGCAACTGGCAGCCGACAACTGGCGCAGAGGCGTCTCCCCGTTTACAAAATGTGACAAGTTGCGGAATTATTTTTCGCAGAAGATGTTCTGTTCAGTGGCTGCGTGCAGATAAGCCGAGATTGATAAGCAGGCGAGAACGACGACGACGACGACGACGACGACGAAGAGCAGAGCGAGACACAGTCTGAAAGCCCGTGCCATACTGGCACTGTTCCCATTCCAGTCCTGTGGCTGCGATGCAAGTGCGCAGATAATGCGAGCGATTTATGTGGAACCTCCGGAGCGAACGAGGTGCACATCGTGGAGAAGAGAAGGGCGGAAGCGCTGGCGGGTGTTGACAACAGTAGCCAAGGCAGCAATTTAGCAAAGATTACAACTGGCAATGGCATTTAAGTGGCCATTGTCAGGGGCGCGATCTGCGGGTGTCCGATAAACGATGGCTCCTCGCTCCATGTTCGCAGCATGTGGGCGATCGCAGGATTGCCGCCTGCTGCAGCAGCAGTTGCAAGCAACTCAGTGTTAAGTGGCAACGATACGAGATGGCGCTAGAAATGCCACATAGACAAAGTATTAACGGAATAGGACGTTGTCATACGGAGCCTAATGAGTCAGTTCCCAGCTCTAAAGAGTTGGGCTAAGACCCAATCCGAAGGGAAGTCGTACAGAAAAAAATCTATTGAGCATAGGACTACAGAGCAGTCCAAAGGCTTTACGATTCCGGTTTGGTCATCTAACCAAAAATGGGGAGCACCTAAAACCCTACTCAGATCTGCTCTACGTAACATGAATCCACGTTTTTATTATTTAACAAACTCGTAATATATATCAGTTAGAACGCTGTGACGATATAAATATACAATACGTCATGATTGTTGGCTATAGACCACAGGTTAGTTGTCTTATTCCCACGTGGTGAAGGATATAGAGGGCAAAGGGAAGACTCAGTTCCGTTGACATGACTGGCATGTCGAACGGGGTGAGAACACACTGTGTGCTTTATGTGCCTCGGGATTCTTTTTGGCTGCGATTTCTTCGTTCCACAACTGATTGAGATACTGTTCGAGCTTCTCGACAGGATCCTCGGAGGCGCCCTCAGAGCAGGTGGTAAATGAGGAGCTACTGTCGTCAGCTGAGAAGCTATTGGTTTCATCCTCATGGCACACGTCCGATGTTTCACTACATACGCTATGCCGACAATCGATCGGACAATGATGATTCTCCCAATCAGTTTCCGGCTCCTGGGCATCTTTAAAGCCGGACGAGGTATCTTTATCTTCCTCCACGCGATACCATTTCACCTTATACGAGTCCTGGCCGCACTCGCCATACAGCTCGCCAGTCAGCTGATCAATGTTGCACTCACAGATAAGCATCGGCGAATTGCACTTCGTGCAGCGCGGCATCTTCAATTCGTGATTGGTAATGGGCCGTGGTGGCTTCACCTTGATGTCAGTCTGAATCTTGGGCACCGGCAGGCCGCACAGAATGCAGGCCAATGGCAACTCGTTACATTCGGCCAACTTGAACTTCTCGTGCTTCTTCGAATCTGGCTTCGGATATCCTGGCACCTCCATATTGCCACAATTGCGACAGGTGCAAGTAGGCACAGTCAAGGGATTAGCACGTGCACTCATCCGATCGTACAGCGATCGATAGACAATGGATATCTGTTTCTCATACGCCTTGTGGGCCCAAAAAAATGCCGACCTATAGTTGTCAAAGATCCTCGCCGTTTTATATGCTGCATGCAACCAAGCCGATTTCTGAGTATGTATTGCCGCGGCTTCTTGTATAGGGTTGCTGATCGTCCTGTCCGGCTTGCCGTGAAAGAATGCCTTGAAGGCACGCTTAATGATCGCGTACGTCAACATTGCCTCCACACTCGCCATTTCGCACTTGATTCGCAGCGCCTGTAGCAAATCGTCTCGGTGCAAATGGGTGCCAACTCTAGGACTGGGCGGGCAGTGGTTTCTCAGCTTTTCATGATAGACAAATGCGCGCTTTATGATCGATTTGGCATTGCAGGCCTTGGTCGTATTAATGCCACATATAACCATAATCTGAGCAAGACATTTAGCCACGTCCTCGACATTGTCGTCGAACAGTTGATAGGGATCGAGTTTTTGCTTGCAATCGCAGCAACATGTCCGCTTTGCATCCGAATCGGTGTTTGCGACCATCAACTGCTGCTTTGCCATATTGAACGTCTTTGAAACGGATTTTAACAAATAATTTTGGAAGAAATACTTAACAGCCGTTCCATCAAAAAATAAAACTATTATCAAAGGGATAGACTAATTTTCCAAAGGAAAACTTGATCAAAGCTCCATCTATTCTGTCCAGAAGTATGTCAATCTGTTCCACTGTATAACATCTATATATTGTCTTTTTCATAGACCACCACGAGCCGCTGAAAAAGAACAAACGCCCGTGGCGCGGCTCGACTGCAATTATGCTAAATAGATGCTTTGATAGCTTCATTGGGCAGGGCCATACGTATAAATAAGAACAAGACAAGCCAAATGGGTCTGTTTAGATTCTGGGCACTGTTGTTGTGTCAGACTAAATTGTTCAAATAAATTAAGTTGTAGCTTTCAAAAAACTAGAGAAGAGAACGGCAGCAGAGAGAGGAGAGGAGTAGACACACAGACATTGGATAGTGTCTGGGTGTGGGGATTGGGGCAAGCAAACAAGTTCGACTGGGCACAAAGATCGGGGCCGTCGCCTCACAGAGGCTGCCGCCTTGTCGCATTGTCATTTGATAAATTATGATATTTGATCAATTGTTCAACGGAGAGTCGGGGCCACTCAAATGGAGATGAGAGCTTCAGGCTGGAGCTCTGTCTGTGTCTCTGCCTAATGAAATGGCTTTCTACGTGTGCCGGCCCTCTCTTCCTCTCTTCACCCGGCCCACTTCGCTTTCAGACTGAGGGAGGCCCGCATCAAGTTGCCGATTGAACTTTTCTTGTATTTACATTGTAATGGCATCTGGTGAGCAAACACACACACTCCCATTCCCATTCCATTCCCATTCCAACTGCCATTCATCTGCATAGCAGCATAATAGAATTGGGACTCGAGACTGCGACTGAAGACTTGAGAGTAGAGAGATGCCTCTTTATTGTGGCTAATAGGCTCTTGCGGCTTTGTTGTTGTGCCGCCGTTTGCACGTTGCAAGGCGTGTTGCACGTAGCTCAGCTCAGCTCAGCTTGCTTGCTGTCATGGCATCTCTCTCTCACTCTGTCTCTGTGCCTGCACTTGACTGTGGATTGTGGATTAATGAATGGCCGACAAGCTGGACATAGTTGGTAACCGACTCTTACCACCGCCACCGCCACTGCCACCGCCACCGCCGTCGCTGCTGTCTGTTTACCATTCATATCCCCCATTCATTGTCGCAGTCAACAGGCCTCTAATTATGTGTAAAGGTGTTGTGTGTGTCCCCTGCCTCTCACTCCTTCATTCAAACGGAAGGTAATTAGTTTTCTAGCATGAATTTGGATTTCTAAACTTGGATGGATGCTACTGGATTTTTCCGTTTGAAAGTGCCTCCCGCTGAAGATATCCTACTGGAGTTGTCAAACCCTCTGTCCTGAAACTAAATCGCTAATATGTTTGATGCTATTTTGATATCCTCTCTGCTCTCTTTTTAACTATCCTTAATAATATTTAGAGCATTACATGTTTAACTTTACTTTATAACTAAAGCAATTTCATATTCGGTAGCCCTTAAATGATTCGGTGACACTAAGATTTATTTATTACTTTTATTATTTTTTCGTTCTTGGCAAAGTTTTTTTTTATGTCTCAAGCTTGAGAGTCCACTTGTTCCCCAACTTGTCTTCGCTTTCATTTGATAGCTGTCGAAGTCAGCTGCTGTCACTGGACAAAGTTCAAAGATCCACGCACAAAAGTGACAGCTGATGGCAAAGATGAGGCTGCTGTGGCTACTGCTGTTGCTCTTGTGTTAAGGACCCGTTTTCCCTTTTATTACGCTGAAATCGAACGCCTCGAAAATATATAAACAACCTCTACAGAGAGAAGAAAATGAAAGAGAACGCACCAAGTCATCATAAAATGCCAATGTAATGAAATAAATTTAACACAACATTTGTTCTCGGCCTCTGGGTTCAGCTCCTGTCACAACATTTGGCATGGACTGCTGAAGAGCGAGAAACAGAGAGATTCAGAGACCCATAACAATCAAAAAGGCACACAAAAATATTTTCAATAATAAATCTATTTGATGGGCTGCTGTTGGTTGCCTTTAGCTTGAGTCGCATTTATCAGGGCGCATCCCAGTTTTATGGGCCATGGGCAATGGGCCGCAGGATGCGTTGACAGCCGTCGCAGTCGTTAAAAATCACAAAACGACGCACATGATTAATTGTGCAGGCAAACGCATTGGGGGATTCAGCTATGTATTGGGGATACTCGAAGTCAGCTGTTGGTCTGCCAACAAACCACTTGTCACTCGCCCCAAAGCACAAAGCCCAAAGCATTACTTGAATATTTTATGCACATTCTTCTTTCGACTTTGTCTCGTTATTAATTTCTGTCCACAGCTCCAGCTGTTGCACTTGCTCGCACAAACTCGCCCTTTTGGCCAGCTGTCGGTGAGCCTGCTGGTCAAGTGGTCAACTGGTCAACTGTTCGAATGGTCAACTAATTTTCCAATTTGTGGTCCGTGTCTGTTTGATATAAATATAGCATTTAATTGAACTGTCCCTACATGTTGAACGCTTGACCTAACCCAACAAACCCCAGCGACCTTCATACATTATCAACTATATGATCTATGAAGCATATCTACTGAAGCATATAGGCCTATAAAAATATCAGAAAATAGAGAATTCATGACGCGCATCGATTCAGCATGAAATAAAATAATATGTAAATGAATTGTTTCCACAACAGAAAAAATGTATTTAGGAAATAATAACATAGGAATGAATCTGTAAATGTAAACTTTGTCGAATGGGAATCTTAAAAAAGAAACAGATATAAAAGAATCAAAAAGTGTATAGACTTTTATATAAAATTTTAGTTTCTATCTTTAAAAAAGAGGAAATGTCTTAAGCCTTGCTCCAAAGTCAAACTAAAACTTCCTTATGGATAACCTAGCCCATTAGAAGTTGCTTAAAAATAGAAATAAATAAAGCCAAGACTCAACTTCAAGGATCAAGGCACATATGTTTTTGTCCTCTTGAACGAATGCGCTCTCTTTTTCATTGGAAGCTGAGCATCTGTTAATAAATCAACACTTGGGAAAGCAGCAACGGCAGCAGAGAGAGGAGCGAAGAGAGAAGAGAGAAACCCTTGTAATTGCTTAATTAAATTGCCACTAAAGTTATAATTTGTGCCTGACTGAGTGCAAAGGATAATGCGCAGATTGTTCGAGCATCCTTTTGTGAGCAGCTGGCACTAAATCAGATTTGCTGACAGGCTTAACTAATTTCAACCCGGCCACAATTCCGGCTGCACTTGAGCTGAACTGATTCTTTGTGCAGCTTGTGCGCCTCTCTCTCCCTGTTTCTCTCTCTTTATACAATATATCCTTTCAAGTGGATGCTGCGCATGCGTCCCAAGTGAACGCGTGCTAATGGGGAGCAAAGGTGCAGAATAGGGATCAATGGAGCTGCGCGTTAATTTATGCGTGTCCTGCGCAGTCTCAGCTGCAGCCAGTCTCTGGCTCGCCCTTTGTGTGTCAAAGGACATGGCATATGCACAGACGGCGACATGCCGACACATGACTTTTGTTGACACAAGCAGCGCGGAGGAGGAGAGTCCCTGCACGGCTGCATCTAAGTGGTATTTATTGGTTTGCCAAGCGCTGGCGACGGCTGCCTTGGCATATCCTGCGCGCAAGGATTGAATTACGCTCTGGCGACACATTTGTAAACAGGCGAATGATTTAGTTGCAGGACTACCGGCGCAGGAGCCAAACACACGGCGCGCCTTATTTGCACACACACACATACAACCTGGGAGAGGGACTCACATACAAAAAGAAACAATAACAAGGACAGCAAACAGATTGCGGACAATGCATGTGCCGGCATGTCCTTGACAGATCCTTTGCCACACTCTGTATGTTTGATGTCACTCAGACGGACAGAGATCACGAACCTGATTGACAATCTACAAATTTGTGCATTTATCAATGAAAAGGACGCTTGTCAAAGTACAACACCGCGACAGCAAAAAGGGAAAATGTTGATGAATTGAGCGATTGATGTTTTTACACCCAAGCAAACGGGCCGCAAACATGAGTTTAAATGTAAATGTGTGTATGGGCATACACTATAAATAGATACACATGTAAAACCTAATGATTGCAATTAATTGTAAGCATTTTCCAAATTATATACAAATAAGTTCCACTTACTGAACTCCACAAAAACGCCTACTATTGTAATTGGTATTTTGCAACACTACGGTCACACTAGGTTCATGAACTGTTATTTCTCTTTATTTTATTACCGTCTAGACGTCACTTCGTGTATCACTTTTATATATAAACAATCTTTAAATGATACCATTTATTCGAAGCAAATAGATTTACAAATAAATTCTACTTGTGCCACTCAAATCAACCACAGATATTGTGTAAAACTTTTACTACGGTCACACTACGCCTAAGAGCTTATGCAACTTTCATTTCATTTTCTTTATTGTTTTATTATTGCCTTGCAGCACTCGTACCTCATGTTTTCACACTTCACATGTGCATTAACGAATGTTTTTAACACTTTTTACATATGCAATTAATGAATGTCGAACAATAAACAATTTAACTTGCGAAACGCACACTGCAGACCGCCCGCTGCGCAAACACGAAGAGAAAACACGTGCTGACTGACAAACACAACACCAGCAACAGCAAAAATAGCGATGGGATTACACAATTGAAGCGGAGCGCCAGCCGATTAAACCGATTCAATACACACATAAGCACACACACTCAAACATATGAGCATTGCACTGCGAATCGAGCTGTCACAGGGCGAATATTGCTGTTGATCGCGGGCAAACATTTGGGCGCATTAATAATTTATGAGATTAATCACAGCAAAGGTCGTAGCAATTGCATGGAAACTGACGTGCTTTAGGGCCTTTTTGCAGACATGTTTGCGACACATGTCTATCCAGAGCTAATGAAAGCCCGTTTAAAAAAATGTTTTCATTAAATGACTAATGCCCATGGGCTTTACACATTTTTTGTACTATTTGCTTTCTTTACAAGCCCCTAGCAATTTCCTATTCGGTAAGCTGAAATCGACCAGACTAAAAAAACGAGCTGGCAACGACAGCTTACAACTGATCCTGGTGAATGGCAATTCTGTAAGCGATTTCCACGCGTTTTTTAACGCGACCATGTACCCCCAAAAGCACTTTTTAACCGAACTAAAAAATAAATAAAATAGAGCAATAAATTTGTGTTAATAACAGTTGCAATGCCCTGCCTTAACTGGATAGCCGGCAGCAAGTGCCCATAAATATGGTCAAATGGGTTGACAGTTGGCAGCAAGCAACAAAAAGGAAACCAGGAAACCCTTCCTCGAAATGTGAACTCCCAAATAGTTGTGCAACACAATTTGTGGCCAGAAATTTGATATGAATCAAGTGCCACGTGTCGCCCTTGCGAAATTTAGGGAACGCTGGTGCTGCCCCTATATATGTATACGCCAGCACGACAGATGCGCGTGCCCAAAAAAAAATGTTCTGTTACACTTTCACGTTTTAACTTGGCCAAAAGAACACACACAAGAACAAGAAACTAATCGCCGTAGCAAGGCGCGTTTATCGTTTATCGCGCGCAGACATCAGCGAAGGCGTGTGTGTGAGTGTCTAACTGTGTGTGTGTGTGTGTGCGTGTGTTGGAGGCGGCAACACATCTCGTTAAACCGCAACCGTTGCCGCTGATTCGAATCGCATCAGCCCATCTGTGCCGCTGGCTGTGCCCCGTTTTGGCTGTTCCCGTTTGCTGAGCGTGAAATGCAAGCAAGGACTCCTCTCTAGCGGTGGCCCGTTACGCGAAATTGATGTGTGGAGGGTGGGGGTAACTACCTGCCAGATCGGAGATCCGTTCCAATTTGGCTGCCCAGCTGTTGGCCATGCCTGCTGCTTGATGTGGCGATGGCTAACAAGCTGGCAACTCTACCTTCTGATTGATGTGGCGCTGGCTAAAGAGCTGGCAACTCTGGCCAGCTGTGAGCGAAATTTGAAAAATCTGCTGTTAGTTGACCGCTGCATCCACATTGTGTGGATGACGTTTTATGATGCCAGAACTTTAATGTCTTCAATGGATGCGTAATGCGACACCGCCAGCCGGACACTTGGCATGTGCCAAGGAAATGGACATGAAACTGGTTACCTAAAACCAGAAAAAACAGAAGTGCCTGCGACTCCACTTGAATTACATGCCCAAAAATATGTATTTGACCCACACACGCACACACACGTACACCTTAAAGCGGGTGTCAAAGGCCGTGTTAGGCTCGTGTGCAGCCTTTGACAGTCGCTGAGCGAGGTTCTCCCTGCCATTGAATCCCGCCAAGCTACGAGTCAATTTGTCCAAATTGAAAATTGTTGAGCAATGGAAATTCGATACATTTGGAAGCAGCAGCTGCTGCTGTGTCCTGCTGGCTGCTGATTGAATGCACCCAGGCCACCCTGTAACCAAGCCCAGCAGCTATCTATCACACACACACATGCATACACATACATGTGTGCAGTAAGCTGCAAATGGCAATGGATATACGAATTGAATACGAATTCGAAATCGAATTCTGCTTTGACCACGCTTTTCTTTCAGTATTCAAAGCAATTCAAAAAGAATTTACTATTGTTTACAAGATCCTCAAAGGTTTTTATTATTATTTTTGTGTGTGTTTTATAGGTGCAATCAGGTCGCAGTCAGAAGTCATCTATTGAGCCACATCTAGTCTACCACATAATTAGGCAGATTATACAGATCATCTCCTGTAAATATAAAACATTCTTAATCTACATATTCCTATAGAGTTTCAGACAAGCTTACGACGACAGCTCTGCATTAAAGCCAGTTTCAGGGCATTGCGATAGGTTACAAGGGGCAGCCAGTCATTAACCCGATTTTCAGGCAAAGCGCCATGATCGATGAGATCCAAGGATCTTAATACGTCTAGCATATCCTGGGCGAGCAGCTGGGGCACAAACTCCTGTATGACAGTCAAATACAGCAGATTCTTTGGGGGATCCGTCGGAACAGCGGACACAAGCTCCGCAGCAAATCGAATGCCAGCCCGATGCAGTACAAGCACTCCGGATCGCACCTCCAACTGCTTAGTATTGAAGATCTCCGCCAGCAAGTTCGCCAGCTTTAGCAGATCAGCAAAGTCCGAGGAAGCGGCAGCCAGCTGAGCATCGGGAAAGGCGAGACGTATGCGCTTGTAGACCAATAGACAGGTGTGCATGAGGGTCATGCCGAAATTCGTGGGATTCACGGACAGGCAGCGTTCCAGCGTAGAGCGCAGAATGTCACCAAAGATCGGATGGAACTAGAGCGGAGGGCATAGCTGGATAGGATCGGACAGAAAATATGTTTTATAGACATCAACCTACACTATCGTAATACTGAAGCACAATGCAGGCGCGCATTACTGGCATCACATTGTGGAAGACCAGCTTACAATAGCTGGCCAGGATGCGTCGCTTGCTCTGCATTAGCTGGAACATCTCTGGTGCCAGCAGCTGAGCGATGCCCCCATCAAAGACAAAGCGCAGCACAAAGTTTTCTATCAGCTCGTAGTCGCTGATATTCGACTTGCACTCCAATGAACGGATTGCGATGCAGTCGCTGCGCCGCGAACTCGAGAAGAGAACAAAAATGTCGCAGGTATATGTGAAGGCCTGCGAGAGAAGGATAGGTTGGAGCAGATGGCTGCTTGCAAGTAGTAACGGCCTCAACTTACATCACATTCCATTTGAATCAAGGCGCTCTGCTCAATCAGCTGAAAGCTTATGCATAGAAAGTTGTCCAAACGACGACGTAAGCCGCGACAGCTTGTCGTGACATCCTGGTCCTCCTTGGCTGCTTCTCTAATACGTCTCAAGTCCCAGGAGAAAGACATGTACATAATAGTCAAATAAAACGAAATGGATTGGGCCGGCAGGCAAGACTCGCTGGCTTGTTTCCCGTTGCTCCAATCCTCCACTCCGTGCTGCAGCTTAACCAAAACATTATCGCTCAGCTGCCACTCATTGAGATCGAAGCGTGCGTAGAGCGCGGCCAGCAGACAGAGCGTGTTAAGTAGACGTTTAGCATTATCCTTCATGGGCAAGCGAGAGTTGCCCGCAATGGACTGTTCCCAGGCCGTGGCTGCGATCATGTAGTTGGTCACAGCATTGTTCAGGAGCATCTTGCAATGATTGCCGTGGCTAACATTTAGGCTGTACAAATGCTCCAAGGTCATGGCGCCCATTTGTAGTACCTCAATTTCCTGCTGCTCGAACATGATGTCCTTGATCTGCTCGAGCAGCTCGTCGAACGATGTCCCCTGCAGCAACATAAACTGCGGCAGCTCCAGCAGATTGCTCAAATCATGAATAGAGTTGCGATATTGTCTTAAAAGACTGGACAATTTGTTCAGTAGGATTGCCGTAGCCTGTTTCTTTGCATTAGGCTGGGCTTCACGCACCAGATCCTCGGTGTAGCGTCCAGGTGGAATCTCCCCAGTTACAGCCTGCTTGATGGCACGTGTAAGAATCTCAATAATGGCCGAGCACTCGATGCGATTCAAGGACTGCGGATGCAGTAGCATTGCGACCATGGTTGACCATTCCAGGATAATATCATTGCGACCATAGTAGGCATCAACGAGGTAGGCCGCATGCTCATGCTCGGCGTATCGAATGAAGAACCTAGCCAGAATCAGTATACCCTCCTCTGCTGTGGCTGCCTCTTGATAGCGATAAGGCACCAGATCTGCGGCTGCCTGTGCCACGCCCCGATGGGCTGCAAAGACCAATTGTTCAATCACCTGCAACATGGATTCATCGAGCAACGTAGGATTGGCTTTATAGAAGCGTCCAAGTAGCTCGATGGCCATCTGTCCCAGTTCGTTTTCGGCGCTCATCGTCAGCCCCAGCAGAGTCATTTTATACGTAACGCCCAGTTCAAGACAAACAGCACGCAGCTTCGGATTGTTGTAGAGCTTTAGCAGCGACTGAAAACAGCACTCAAGCACTTTGGCCGCATTATCCTGCAGCGCATGGAACAGATGCTCCAAGCGATCCGCAGACAGATAGCATTGCGGATACGTCTCCAGCCACAGGCCAAACTCGAAGAGACACAGATAGCGTATCTCGTCGACCACGTCGCTGGACCGTTCCAGGAAGACACTCGCGAACAGCTTCAGCCACATATCCTTGAGATGCTCGCCCTTCGCGCTAAGCGTGCTCATCATCTTGAGAGCTAAGAGAGGAAGGAAAGAAAAGGAAGTAAAATAACATCTCCAGTTCCTTTTTCATTACTTACCAATAAACGTGCAGGTGTGCCTGAAAGCTCGTACCTTCGAGTCCACGCAGACCAGGAGAAAGCCAAATATGTCATTCAAAAAGACATCTTCCAAAAGGAGCCCAGAACTCAGACAGCGACCCATCAAACACTGCACAAATTGGCAAATATTACGAGCGAACGACTTGCCCGTTCTTATGATCAGCGGATAAGTTAGCCTCTTCTGAAAATGTATAAAGATGTTTATATAACTAGCTAAATTGAGGTTATGTTTGGTTAGTAATGCTCTTACATTGCCAAAATGCGCTGTGGCCGCTATAAGGATCTCACTGTAATTAAAGGGCAGTGCTGGTACGCTAGGTATTTGATACTGACTGCCACTCGCTTCCAACACAAACTGCATGAACTTGAGTAGAGCTGCTGCAGGCGCATGCCTAAATGACTTTATCCAGCTTTGGCAAATGGCCTTAAACACTCAAAAGTGAGGTTAGGTTGCTTTGAATACCTTTACTCACCTTTGTCGTCTGCTTGCCACTGCACACAAGTTCTAGCAGGGAAATTCGTGGGTTGAACACAAAACCTTGGCTTGAATCTCCCTCCAAAGGCATCTCATTTTCCTTATTGCTGCCGCTGTTGACGCTGACAATGCGACAATTTTGTTTATGCTCAGCTTTACTTGTAGAAAAAGCCAAATCTTTTACCTAGATATATCCATGCTCTCGGCTTCATCGGGCTGCACGTATTCAATAATTTCGACATCATCAGAACTGCTGCTCATTATGAACAAGAATGATAGGATAACTTTCAAAAATTGCAAATTCCAGCACGTGCCACAGCTATGCAGCGTTGCCAGACTGCACCAAAAAGGGAATGTCTATGGCGACTTGTTCAGCAAATGAGCCAGTGAATAGCTTTTGAACTAAAAGCACATGTGAACATTTGAACTAGTTCACTTATTGAGATCTCGCCATATTTTGGATCACCTGAAGTACAACTTTGAACTCGAATCGCCATACGCTCCCTAGATGGTGTTTAACCATAAATAACTGTTAGATCTGTTAAGCCAATAGTTTGTTTCCCTAGGCTGTTTCCAGTTTTCCCACCGTTCTGTCAAATCGTGTGTATTCCTGTGATAATTCAATCGAGAAACAGGGCCAATTACGATGGTCAGTGCCATTATTCCCACAGGTCGGGTCAGCCAAGACCGACTCAGTCAGTCAGGTAGGTAGCGGAACAACAAACAATTAGCCCAGCCCCTGCTCCTCCGCAATGATACGCAAACAGAGCGCAAATTGGGCAGAGCCACTTGTCGGGGCGTCTCAAAGGAACTGAGAGCTGCGAGATCTGAGAGGCCGACGGCATCGCCGTCGCCGTCGCCGTCGCCTACGTTGAGGTCGCGTTTGAGGCTAACAAGGACCAAATAATCGGCCTCTGCCTCCCAAAAGCCAAACACAAATATTGACGTTGCTTATCGCACGCGATCGCCGGAACCACACGAACCACACTAAGAACACAGATCAGAGCACCACCGCCGACGCTGCCACCGTCGGGCCGCTGACCACTTGAATGACTTGGCAAGTTGGCAACAAATTATTTCAATCTGCGCTGATGACGCGGCTCATTCCGCGATGATAAAAAGCTGGCGATAACATTTCGTTTCGGGCATTCCTGGAAGGCAGGCACAAATATTGACGCCCAACTCATGAAAATTGGCTCAGCAGCTGCCGTCTGGCGACTCCCGACTCCCGACTCCCGACTCCTGCCGCTGCTGCCATTCCTGCTTTGATTGAAAGATCAATCGAGATCAAGAGAACTCAGCTGCTGCTCCTTCGCGCCGTAATTGGACTCGAGCCATGGTCAAGCCAGTCAGCCAGTCAGCCAAACAGCCAGCCAGTCACTCATTCATTCACTCGCTCGATTGTTATTCATATTCAAAATGTTGGCCTTTTGTACTTCGACTGTCGATTCAAATTCATATTTGATATGTTTCTGGCATGCAGCAGGAAATCTGACCTTTGCTTTTGGTCCTTTTGTGTTGGTCAGGGAATTAGCTGTTGTTCATTTGGCCAGCTGCATGTGGCGCTCGTCACATCTACGCACGTGACCTCGCATGCAGATGAGAAGGACTCGAATGGCGGGCAGCGGGCACACCTGCCCAGCGGGTCAGCTACTGTATGATTGACGTATCCTTAGCTCCTAGCTGGTCCTTGGCCTCTTTCTGCTTCGCTTTGATTAACAATGGCAAATGTGGCTGGCTGGATGGTTGGATGGCTGGCAGTAAAGGCATTCAAACTTTGTTGCATTGTTGCTCAATTCAATTTAGTTAGTTGCAACAAGACGGGGCACAAACAACAAGCAGTTAAAACCGCAAGAAATCATGGCAAAAGTTAAGATTGAAAAGGATAAAGTTTCTCGCAGCCAGGACTCGGCCAAAGGCGCTTTGTGCCAGTTATGTGGAAATGCGGCTTTTGGGCTAACTTCAGCCTTTCCCAACCCTTTGTCTTGCCGCCTCCGACGGCTCCGACGCCCCCTTTACCAATTCCCACTCGAACTACGCAATGAGATAATTTGTTTTACAAAATTGCTTTTACGAATGCCACAAAAGAAGTTTTTGCCTCCAATTCGATTGCTTGGCTTGGTTTAGTTTCAAATGCGGCTTGCTGCTTAGTGAAGTCGTTTGGAAGCATTGCTGGGATTAGGCTTGTCAGAAGAGAGATCAAGTAGAACAATTACCAAAACTTTCTGGACGCAATAATGGGGGTATATTAGCTATCAAATGTGGTTTAAAAACAGACGAAACTTTAGGAAGTCAACAATTCCTTTTGCAGTACCTTCCAAAGGAGGAATGTGACCGGTTTTGTATAGGATTTTCTAGTTCTCTTCATTCTAATTTTTATATAACTCAATATAACCCTCTATCATTATATATATTGAGTAATTTTATTCTTAGACTCAAGCTCAAGCTCAGGACGCAGTTGCAGGTACAGCTTGTTCTTCAGCTCCTTCTCCAAGCTCCATCTTCCACCACTCTACAAAGTTTTCTCCTATAGCTCAGACTTCTCTGCCTGCAGCTTTCTCTATCGGCTACTCCATCCAGCGTCCTCTTCAACTTCCCTATAAAGTTACCTCTCTCCTTCCAGCTCCTTCTCCTACAGCCTCTACAGCTTCTGCTTCAGTAACCCCTTTCAACTTCCTCTGCACCTGCAAATCAAGCCACATTCCGTGGCAATATTGTCAACCTCCCTAAAATGGGTTAAACCAAAGGAAATCCAATGTGACTGTATGATTATATAATATCAAAATAAAACTTCCATTGTCTCTATACAACTTCAGTTACATTTATTCCATATGCATCATTGATATATTCCCCTGTGATGACCTGTTCCACATGTGCCACGTTCACTCAGCTGTCACAATTTTGGCTGTTTTTGGACTGTTTCACGCCCACAGGCAACGCGGGTAATTAACCAAAATAATTGTAACCAAGGCAATGGGTCGATTGTCAACAAACACGAAAATCAACTTGGCCTGTCCAGCCAAATAGTCCTAAGTGGGTCAAATGTGGTAACAGAAGCAGCAGGAGAGCAACTATTGCCCAAAGTTGTCCAAGCAGAGGAGTAACAACTATATGCATGTATACCCATATGTATCTAGTAACGAGCATGTTAGACCTGCGAGGGCGTTGCATAATTAATCAAAAGCGGTACGCGGCACGCGGCAAGCGGCAAGCGGTGGGCGCCACAAAGCGAGCCGCCGCCAAGCCCCAATCCCGGCCAGCAGGGAGTGAGGGCGTTGGGGCAATTGCAGCTGCATACAAATGTTGCCAAGCCAAAACGCCTTCTTCCGCATTTAATGACAAAACGCTGAAGCCGCAACGGATGTGGACATGTAACCCAGCCGCCAAGTCATGTGGGTGCCAAGCAGGAAGCTAGTCAGCCAAAAAAGAAAAACCAGTTGACTGACTGACTGACTGCTTGACTGCCTGATTCCAATTCATGAATATTGGCAAAGGCGTCGTCGTCTTCAGCTTCAATGGATGCACGATGAGTCATTGGCTTGATGCAATTGCTCCTAACAATTAGTTAGGACCGGCTTGCCAAGTTGGCCAAGTTAATGTCGACTGGCTGCCACAACAACTGGCTGCTAATTGACACACCTCGACTTTGGCCAGACACGTTGGTGTTTGCCTCCAATCACGTGCTGCAGGCGGCGACCAAGACGAAGACGAAGACGACGACGACGACGGAGACGTCGACGCTGATGACTCATCCGGCCTCAACATGTGCCAAACGCCAACTCAGCTTAGCAGCCAGAGCCACAGCCACAGCCATAGCCATTGCCAGCGCCTTTTATGAATGAAACGATCCACACGAATGTCTGCAAATGTCTGCAGAGTGGAGCTCCAGACGCAGTTGCTCCCTCCGCCCCACCCTCGCCCTCTCCTACACCTCTCTCTCTCTCTCTGCCTCTTCCTCTTCAGCTGCTGCTCATTCAATGTTTCTAGTCGTCTACAACTTTTGCCTTTATAGTAAATCGTGTTTTGCATGCGCGAGTAGGTTGTCCGTCCACCTCGCCAGATGCCCCTCCGCTTCCCTCTCCCTCCGCCTAACCGCCCTCTGCAGCAATTGGATTTGAAAAATTCATTCATGAAAAGAGAAAAAAGAGCTGGCTTGGCGAGTTTGAAGCATTGCTCTTTGGACATTGGAACCTGCACCGGCAGACTTGGCTTTTATTTTTGGTCTGCTTTTTGTAATTCATATATATAGACATATGTGTATATATACATGTCCATTGAAGGGGTATTCGTAGCTAGAAGTCAACTGCATTACGACACGTTCACGTTTTCTGCTTAAATGTTTTTAGAGTTTTGCGTTTTGATGTAAAACGTTAATTGGGATATTAGGGAAAATGAAAATTAATTTTTATTCAATTAACAAATATATATATATATATATATTTTATAAATATATGAACAAAAGTGCAGAAATATAAGAATATGTGATTTGACTTTTTGACACAGACCTTGCTTAAGCATAAATCATATGTAGATTGAAGCATAGCTCGGACCTAGCTTTGGAAAAGAAAATGCTGAATGCAAATATCATTTGCTTTATCCTGCCATATACCATAAATTCTAGGCCTTAGTTAGTAGAAGATATAGAAGTATCTTAGTTGTAGACCCATGAAGCCATTGAAGGGGAGGAGAAGCAGAGAAAAGGTGAGATGAGGATAGAATCAGGATCAGGCTCAGTATCAGAATCAGGATACTCTTTGAAGACATTACCTACATATATTTTATTTTATTATTTTTACTTTATTTTTGTAAATCAAAATTATTTATAAATATTAGTTATAATACTCACAAAAGCAGATTCGCATTTCACATTTAAATATCAAATACACTGAGAGAAACTCACTGAAGTCCGACTTCTTGATAGCTCAACTTCAGAGATATTTTTCTGATAATTTCATTTGCATATTCAGCACATTCAGACTCGCATAAGTAGCTCAAAAGTTTAAGAATTTGGAGCGAGATGGCCGAGTGAAATTGTGGTGCAGTCGGCTGACCACCCAACCCCAGCCACCAGCAGCCGCTAATCGGTTTAAGTGCTGTTGGAGATCTGCAGCACTAAGCTGGCCCAGAGAAGAGTGAAGCTGCCTTTCTCACACTGCCCAATTTCAATCTCTCTTCCTCTCGCTCTCTGCTTGAGCCTTTTCCATTGCAATCGCATTTTTAATCGCACAAAACTCGCAATAAACAAAACATAATTCCCGAAAAATTCTCGGTTAGCAGCTGCAGTTGACCCCACAAGAAGTTGTCAACACTTGACAGCAGCTGATTCTGTGGAACTTGTTGTGGATGCGCGCGCTCGCGCCCACAAGAGACTGCAGCCGCAGGCCGTGTAGCG